CAGCTGTCCTGTTCTGTGATTTGCTTAGAGGTGAAGCTCATAGTATCCAATGGCAGTCACAACAAATCAAGGGAATAAAACAGGACCACAGATAGTTCCAAGTGGATCCTGCTCTCTCCAAATGTTTGTTGTCACAGTAGGGAACAAAGGCCAACTGAAGTCTTATGTAGGCTGACAAGACCTGTAGTCAGCTCCACCCTTCCTGGAGAAGCTGACTGAAGGCCTTCATCTGACTTCACAAGTTGAAACTTCTGTGAGGCTGAGGAAATTGAGTTTTTTGTTGAGCAGTCATCTTCTGAGCAAAGAATTATAGCAGGGCTGTAACCTTTGGCCAGGAAAACCCTAAATAAGTCACTAATTGACCTATGGTTGAAGAATCTGAATCCTCTGTTGCACACTGGGAGGTATGAGGCATGAGGGTCATGAAACCAGCTTAGAAATCTACTTTCCATCACGGGAACATGGTGTGACTTAAAGCCAATAGACACCTTCACAAGTGTTTCTGTGTATGTTTGGCACCTTTAAAAAGATGTTTAACTCATATACAATGTTTCAGGTCTGATTAAGAGTTCAAATCATTGTGTTGGCATCTACAGATGTCAGAGGCTATTATGCTGGAATGTTTTTTAAAACTTCATGAAAATTGGTGTACAATTTCATACAATTTTTCAATGCAATTTCTCCAATATAAGATTTTATAAGCAATTTTCCCTAATAATGCTTCTTTGTACACTACTTTCCCCAAATGTTTGCATTATTGCAGTCAATTTCCTTTTATTTACACACTTTTCTATGCATATTTTGATTAGAAAACAGCATTGCAAAATTCAAAGATATGCAAAAACCAAGGATACTTGTGTTTCAATCTGAGTATTAGTTTGGAAAGTATAACCTGAGACTGGATTGTACTAAAGTGACCACCAGAAATATTTCTAACCTTACTTTAGCTGGAAGAAGGCACTCTCTACTGAAATAAAAGATGTTCATATTCCTTGGTGTCCCCATAAAACAAGACATCTATTTCATCTTCTTGTAACATGCCAGGAAGCCAAGATTGGCTGCTGCTCACGGTTTGAAGTGGCTTTGAACAGACCTATGGCCTGTTTTATATCAATATTCTCTATTACTGTACTCTTCTATGTACCAGAGTAGGAGCTGTTCTATCTCCTCTAATGGCTGCTATGTTCACTTAGTTTCTAGAGAGCAAAGCAGAGGATCATTTCTGGGGAATCCTGCATGACTGAAAAAAACAAATCTCCTTGGAAGTATATTACTGTACCACATATTTAACAGCATGTGAACCATATAGAAAAAAGATCCACCCTCCAGAATAATAACCCCTGCTCAACACCATTCACCTCCCTTCTTCATCTGAATGGAACTTATATCAATGGGCCCCTTTAAAAGTATGTGTGTTCCTCCACCTTCCCTAGTTTCTTGTGCATTTCATGGAATAGCAAAGTTTCCAAATGCAACCTAATGTTCCTGATGCATCTATCCTCCTAGCAAATTTATAATAAGGCAATTTAATGAATTCACTAAGAGAAGTCAATAGTGTCTCATCCTTCATTCTGTTTTGCCATTTGAATGCAGACACTGTTATTTTAACATTTCCTTGAGAGTACTGTTCTATTGTATCAAGGACAAAAGGTGAAATTGCAATGCCTATTAACTTATGTCACCTTATTAGCACAGGGAAAACTCAAATTAGTCACAATGAACTAAAATATGTTGGTTAGCACAAGAATCAGCTGTCATCATTTGCTCATCAGATGTTTTTTACCATGCAGGTTCCTTTAATATAGGGTGATTTTTACTTTTTTTCTTTATCAAAACAATCAAACAACAAAACCATAGTTCATGCAAAACATTTTTATGAGTGACAGCTATTTTGTGTTTCTATTTCCTTCCATTGTGTTTTCTGCTTACACTAATTCCTTCTGTGCCTTCAGATACTGTCTAAAGTCATAAGTAAAATGAAAAAACCCATCACTACTGTTTAAAAATGTGGTATCTACTGCCTTCTACAAACAGATGCCCTCTCGATGCTTTGGCCTAAGACTGCCAGCAGCCTCAGCCTACATGGATACATCAGGGATGATGGGACTTGTAGCCCAGAACATGCTTGGAAAGGTAAACTAGACCAACATTTTAAGAAAATTGAACCTTGCTTCCAGGGGTAGGCTACTTGTGACCCTCCAGACATTTTGGCCTACAGTCAAAATGTCCATCATTCCTCATCACTGGCTATGCTGGCTAGGGATGAGGGACACTGTAGGCCAAAACCGCAAGCTTAGGGGGCTGACAAGCTGTCCACTCTGCCTTTACTGGAACACAGCAGCATTATCCTTCTTGTATTATTCATGGCATAAGATAAGGGCCAAGTTCCATTTTGGAAATGCTCTCAAGGGCTGATTCCAGTGATGGGCGCAGCGAAAGGAAGGAGGAGTGGGGAAACCAAACAGGAGCATATTTAACCTTAATGCTCTTAATGACAGCAACTCAGCCACAGGAGATGCATTTCAGCCTTTCAGGGTGGGGGAAAAGGTTTGGCAAAGGCAGGAAACTACCAAATGATCAGTGGCTGGGGAAAGGGTATGAGACCATCTGGGGAACTCAGCAGGGCAGGCAGAGTTGGTTCCCATACCCCAGTATATGGAAAGAATTTTTGGAGACATTTCAGGATCCTAGTATTGTGCAAACTGTGCAATGTCACATGATGCTACAGCTTGGGCATGTTAAAGAAAGGCATGTCTGCCTGTGGTTTGCAGGGAGAATCAGACTGACAGATTAGCTGCATCCAAGCAACACCTCAACCCACCCTTCCAATATGAGTCCAGGTTCTCTCTGTACAACAGTTCAGAAAATGGCCAACCCAAGCTGCATAGGCCAGATAATTCAAGGCCCAATCTGATATTGTGTGGGCTACTCTCAAAATATACCTTAGATTGGATCCAAAATCAGTCATATTTAGAGTAGATCTATTGATCCCAATCAGACTTGAGCTAGTCTTTTGTTCCATTTATTCCAATCACCTGCCGTAAGTGTGCTAAATATGGGTCAAGCCCCTGACAGATTTCTTATGAACTTTGATGTTGACCTGGAATGTCTCAGACCAAAGAAAAAGAGGGAATTTCTTTGTCAAGGTGAATTACACTAATAGTACTATCCCATATAGATTTGCTAAGGGGCAATCATCCGCAGCCCTATAGTTTTGGGGTCGTTTGTTAGCAACAACATCAACTCACCCTGTACCAGGTCTGGATATTCCAAGAACCTGCAGTGACTACTTCCCACTGCTTGACTATTGACAATGGCCACTGGCATTCACTGCAACCTGCCATGGCTTAGGTCAGTCATGTTGGGCTCCAGAGATCATGTGAGATAGAAGACTGTGTTCAGTGGTGCTTGCTTTTAGCAAGCGTACTGAGGATTGTAGCCTAAACTGATGCTGTTGGAGCTCTAACATGCTATGCTTATACATATTAAAGTAAATGGAAGCAAGCCATTAGGCTGGTGCGTCTTAGTGTTAGATCCCCACAGCTCCCTCTCCATCTGGCTTTTTTTATACTGTATGTATTTTATTTTAATGTTTATATTTTTAATTATAATTATTTAACTAATTTGTTGTAAGCCGCCCCGAGGCTTCGGCGAATGGGGCGGCATAAAAATGTTTTAATAAATAAATAAAATAAATAAAACAGCCTCCTTTATACCATTTGCACTTGGTGCTTCAAGATCTTCAGCTCTTCCTGTGAGCACTGCCGCATGCATGCATGAGCCACCTTATGAGGCAATGCACACTGAATGTCAGCTTAAACATCTATTAAATAGGAAAAATATATCCCTAGATCAAATGGTCTTTTTAACCAGTAAAGATTTTCCATCCTCAGAATGAGCACATGCTGTCTAGTTTATCAAATAACAACCCTTCTTGTTGTTATGGTCAGTATCAGTAGGAGGGATAGCACTGATATAAAAAAATGTTAATCTGTATTCAATTTTGATGGCATGTTTTCTATATGAGCTTTTATATAGGATGCATTTCTTGAGAGCTCATTGTTCCTTTCTTATAGTTGATTACAGATTCTTTAGACAATGTCCCCACCCTTCAAGTTTTTCTTCTGGTTTTTAAGAACATTTTCAGGGTGGGGGTGGGGAGTTGATGGGAAAAGGCATTATTTGTGAGAGTGAAAAAAACCCTAATTTCCTATTTCTGAAGTTATATTATTTTGCTATATTACATCACTACCTTTAAGTTATGCACTGGAAGAGAAGGAAAGTAAAGCTCTGTGTAAAGTGTGGGTCTCAATTCAGCAATGATACAGTAAATTGATAAAGTGAATGAACAGCCATATGTAGAAATCTCTATATCTAGCTGTCAAATTAGTTGGTGACAGAAGCCATGTGGAAAATATATTAATGTCCCTTGATAGAGCATAACTTTGAGTACAGTGGTATAATCCTACAGAATAGAAGCAATTGTTTCTGGAAAGGGGATTAGCAGGGACTGGAGAAATTCCCATCTTTTGTGCATATCTATGGAGCAGTTGTACTCCACAATATCCAGTGTCCTCCAGTATCATACTCCACATGTTCTTGCTCTAAGTTCTACTGACTTTCAAGTACTTCCAGAGACAGTATAAATTCTATATATTCTCTCTTCCCTTCTGCCCTTCCTAATATGAAATTAAGAAATGTCTAGCATAAATATATGGGGCAGAATGACATATACTCCTGCTAAAGTTGAAACTGTGCAGCTACTTAATTATCCCTGATTATATTACTGTCATCTTGCTAAATAAAATACACTAAATTTTCAAGCTATGGCTCTTCAGCTCACACACATTTGGATAAAGTCTACTCATTGAATATTTTGCATATGCTATAGCTTAGAGCAATAACAAAGGCAGCCTCTTTGCCAGAATACATAACAAAAAGAGACCAAGCCTCCTCCACACACACATCCACACACAGATTAGGAAGAACAAGGTTTTCACCTGGCAAAACCGACTCCTCTACTGACGCCATTAGCATCTCTTAATATTCGGGTGGAAATGACATGCCCAAAGGGTTTCAGCATATTCTCCAGCTCCTGCTCATCCATGGAAATGGGTAAGTTTGAGATGTAAAGGTTTGTGGGGTCTTGTTCTTGTTGCTAAAACAAAAGAGATAGTCTTATTAGAATCAGCATTAATAGAACAACTTTTACCTGTGTTATGCCGCAAAGTAAAGAACAAAGCAAAGATAAGGCACTATGTGTCAGCCAGTAAACATAACGCAGCAAGTATAATTTTGAGTGGGAGTCAGGGCATATCAACATTATATATGTTAATTTCTTCATTATATTTATATTGCAACTCTTCCTCAAGGAGTTCAAGGTGATAGGCATGATCCTCCATTTCATTTCTCCATTTTATACTCACAACAGCCCTGTGAGGCAGATTAGGTTAGAAGTAAATAACTGGCCCTAAATCACCAAGTAAACATCTTAACAGAATAGTGACTAGATCCTAGGTATCTCCCATCTCAATAAAACATTCAGACAGCTACACCACACTGGCCCTTTGCTGGGTATATATACATATTCCTAACAATAATTTTGCTTCCTTCCTTTCTTTACTTTCCATAGCACCCAATAGCTAACCTGTCCGGGCAGTTTACAAAGACCCTACATGGTCACAATTCAACACAGTGCTAAATGTATTTAAGCCCTCAGAACTGCAGTGATCAGGGATGAACAGCTTTTGTTAAATCCATTCTGTCTGCATCACCTGTTCATTGATGGAAATATTTCCTCCCTCCCTCCCTCCCTCCTTTTGGGATGCATGAGCATTATGTTCCACTTGTGTCAATGTGCTCATGCACTAATGTGAATTGGTGCAAATCCTCCTTCCCCCAAAAGGGAAAAAAGCAGTTTGCAAGTCTGTGGAATGCATGCAACTCAGAAAAGGCTGGCCTGATGCAGAATCCACAGGCTGGATTCATGGACATTCAAGCTTGTTTCAATCTGTGGCAGAGTTCCCGGATATCTGTCACTGGTAGCTGAGCTGGGTAGTGGCCCCTGATCCATGGCACTGCAATTGTTTTCTGACTTTAGTGTTCAGTATCACCCCTCATCCTCTTTGCAAATGTTCCTTTTCAGAACTTGGCACAAATCACTGCTGAGAGAGAAATTGCCAAGAAAAAACAGTGTACATATATATCGCAGGCAAATCCCTCTTCTGCAGCACAATCCCTCAAACTGCTTTTAAAAACTTTCCAGAAAGGTGAAGCAAAAGTGTTTGGACAGTGTGATGGAAGAGCTACTAAAAATGATAAACTCAAAAAATAAACCCCAGTATACACATGGGGAAGATGCACCACAGGAATCTCAGGGTGGATAGCACTCTACCACAAAAACACCCCTGTGAGAGGGCGCGTTTATATGGTGGATATTTGAAAATATACCCACAAATATAGTTGGTCGGAGCAGAAGTAAAGAAAGATTTAAACAAACCAAAATCAATTATGAAATCCTAGAAATCCTGTTTGTGACTGGCTTATGTTATCGTAAGGCCTTTATTTCTGAGTTGGCTAAAATATTTTGATAGCAATGAGAACATTCTGACTGGTGTGATGGCATTTTCTATAGTAGGATTTCCACAGACAAATGGCATATGACAGCATTGACATGAATTTGAGAAGAGGACTTGGTGTGCACTGTTCAAGCAAGCTTGCGGACTGCAAGCTGAATGCGCCTGGCCTTCCTTCAAGCTAAGATTATATATTTAAAGGTATAGACTTTGGGTCATAGACTTTAGATCTGATAGACAGAGTGCCTGAAGAACTATGGACGGAGGTTCGCAACATTGTACAAGAGGTAGCAACTAAAACCATCCCAAAGAAAAAGAAATGCAAGAAAGCAAAATGAGGCTGTCTGAGGAAGCTTTACAAATAGCTGAGGAAAGAAGGGAAGTGAAAGGCAAGGGAGAAAGAAAAAGATACAAACAATTGAATGCAGAATTCCAAAGAATAGCTAGAAGAGATAAGGATGCCTTCTTAAATGAACAGTGCAAAGAAACAGAAGAAAACAATAGAATAGGGAGGACCAGAGATCTCTTCAAGAAAATTGGAGATGTGAAGGGAACATTTTATGCAAAGATGGGCATAATAAAGGACCAAAATGGCAGGGACCTAAAGTGCTACATTCAATATGCCAGCAAATTTGGAAAACTCAACAGTGGCCACAGGATTGGAAAAGGTCAGTTTACATTCTGATCCCAAAGAAGGGCAATGCCAAAGAATGTTCAAACTACCGCACCATTGCACTCATTCCACATGCAAGCAAAGTGATGCTCAAAATCCTACAAGCTAGGCTCCAGCAGTATGTGGACAGAGAACTACCAGAAGTACAGGCAGGATTTCAAAGAGGCAGAGGAACTAGAGATCAAATTGCCAACATACACTGGATCATGGAGAAAGCTAGGGAGTTCCAGAAAAACATCTACTTCTGCTTCATTGACTATGCTAAAGCCTTTGATTGTGTGGATCACAACAAATTGTGGCAAGTTCTTAAAGAGATGGAAGTACCGGACCATCTTATTTGTCTCTTGAGAAACCTATATGCGGGTCAAGAAGCAACAGTGAGAACTGGACACGGAAACACTGATTGGTTCAAAATTGAGAAAGGAGTTTGGCAAAGCTGTATTCTGTCGCCCTGCCTATTTAACTTATATGCAGAGCACATCATGAGAAAGGTGGGGCTAGATGAATCACCAGTTGGAATTAAGATTGCTGGAAGAAATATCAACAACCTCAGATATGCAGATGATACCACTCTAACTGCACAAAGTGAAGAGGAACTAAAGAGCCTCTTGATGCGGGTGAAGGAGGAGAGCGCAAAAGTTGGCTTGAAACTCAACATTAAGAAAACTAAGATCATGGCATCCGGTCCTCTCACTTCCTGGCAAATAGATGGGGAAGAAATGGAGATAATTACAGATTTTATTTTCCTGGGCTCCAAGATCACCCCAGATGGGGACTGCAGCCAAGAAATTAAAAGATGTTTGCTCCTGGGCAGGAAAGCTATGGCAAATCCAGACAGCATACTAAAAAGCAGAGACATCACCCTGCCAACAAAAGTGCGTATAGTCAAGGCTATGGTTTTCCCAGTTGCAATGTATGGCTGTGAAAGCTGGACCATAAGGAAGGTTGAGGGCCGAAGGATTGAGGCCTATGAATTGTGGTGCTGGAGGAGACTCCTGCGTGTCCCCTGGACCGCAAGGCGATCAAACCGGTCAGTCCTAGAGGAGATCAATCCTGACTGCTCTTTAGAAGGCCAGATAGTGAAGATGAAACTCAAATACTTTGGCCACCTAATAAGAAGAAGGACTCCCTGGAGAAGAGCCTAATACAGGGAATAATAGATGGCAAAAGAAGAAGGGGACGGCAGAGGATGAGGTGGCTGGATGGAGTCATTGAAGCAGTCGGCATGAGCTGGAGTGGACTCTGGGGGATAGTGGAAGACAGGAAGGCCTGGAGGAATGTTGTCCATGGGGTCGCGATGGGTCGGACACGACTTCGCGACTAACAACAACAACACTTTGGGTCAAGAATAACTGCGCACCATGACTTAAAAGGATGGAGTAGTGAACATAACACAAGCAACCACAATTTTAATTAATTTCTAGAATAATGTATTGCATCTCTCTGAGTCTGTCTGTCAGTGTGCCTTCTCTTCTGGATCTGTTTTGCTGATGTGGGGAAGAAAATTGCGGTCTGAAAGATGAGCTGGGCCGGAAAGGTGACAGACTGTGTTTGAGGAATGCGTAATCTTTCTTCTGGGAGAGTACCCCTCAAATGTCCATTTCTTTTAGGAACATAACATAGTCTCCCCATGCTTCATGGAGGCATCAGTGTTGTATGAGACAAACAGCCTTTAAGTCAATCTCCACATTCATTTCAGACCTATTGCAGTGCCTACTAACCTACATGCTTGATACTGCTTAATGGGTCTCAGGGTTGGTGCCACCCTAACAGGGGCCAACTGACAAGAGTTGCCTGGAGTTGGTTCTCCTCTTCCCCACTGTAACCTGATCATTTCACCTGTTCTCAGTGGCCCAGACAATGGTGGTCATATGAGGAAGGGAGATGCCCTTGTGTTCTTGCTCACTGGCTGTCTGCCGTGCAAGCAACTAGTGACAATGATAAGGAAGCTGATGAAAAGCGATGGCAACTGGTGGCAATGGCGGTAGGGTGATAGACTCACTGAGGATGGGGCCCTGTTGAGGCTTTTTTGCCCAATGGCTCTAAAGCCGGGACAGGTCTGGAATCAAATTTTCAAGAATACCATGTGGACCATACAGAGGTGAGAAACAACGAACACAGCAATTCCAAGCAAAGTTTTACGTATTTGGTAAGACATTTCACCAGCCTTACAATAAACACTTTCACTTGGCTGTGTGTGTATATGCACATAAGCATTTTATGAACCAAAACCAAAACCTGATGTTGAAAAAGTAAATATGAGAAAATCCAGATCATCTTTAGCACTTGCAGTACTGAGACTAAAACAGTTTCTTTGTTTGGATCTCTTCATATTCTTTCATTCCAGGTCCATGCCTCAGTTTAACAGTTACAAAGAGGCTTTTGGCTTGTACTACATTTTAGACTTGAAATGAGAGGGAAAGTCTGGAATTATTTCAGTGTTTAACATATAGAAACAGGACGGTGAACTCAAGATTGAAACGAAGTACAGAAGATGAAAAGATATGAATCTCAGGTTGTAAGCTTCTTCAAAGCAATTTCTTCCAACTCTCTTATCTTGCACAACTTTGACATTGTATTTGGTCTCCTCCCCTTCCCATTTTCTTCTCCTTCCTTCCTTCCTTCTTTTACCATAGGTGAAAAAAGTGGAAGTTAAAGTGCTGTGTTGCTTCTAGTAAACATAGTGAGAATTTTGAGCACTGGAGCCAATTGGAGAAAGGCTGTATTAGAAAAGTCTACCAAGCAAAAAGCTTTGCCGTTCTACAGCTTCATTATTCCAAAACAATAATTCTATTATGTAAATCTTGATGTTTTGATCAGTTAGCAGATCTGATTGATCAGTCAGTCAAAGCACAAAGGGTGACACTGCTCCACAAATGCTCAGAAATTGCTACATAGAAGTAACAACAC